CCTTCCATAAGACAACATGGTATTTGCCTGTGATTCACACACATCCTCTGTGTACATTTACCATTTCCAGGTCTTCCACTTTGCCATTTTGTTGCTGTGATAAAGAATACAACCAAAAAACAACTTGGGGATGACGGGGTTTATTTCATTTTACAGCTTGCAATCTATTATGGAAGGCAGCTAAAGAAGGACTCAAGGACATGGAGGCAGGAACTGAAACAGGGACCATGGAGAAACACTGCTTGCTCCACATGGCTTGCTTAGCCTGCTTTCTTATAGAATCCAGAACAACCTGCCCAGGGGTGGCACCACTCCCAACTATCTGGGCACTGTCCTGTTGTTTAAGCCCCTCTGAGCCTCACTCACTGAATGGCTTCTTTGATTGCCATCAAGACAGGACATTACTATCCCATGAAAGAACTTCTGGGCTCCCATGAGAGGTGTTTCTATTTCTGAGCCTGCTGCCAGCTCTGACGACTGTGAAGACTGAGAGGTGATATATTGTGTATCTGGCTTGCTCAGCATGCCTAAGGCCCCAAGCCTGGGCATTCCAAGGCCTCAGGTTGCATGTCAGTGGTGTGCCCAAGCAGCCAACTGCTGGCAGTCACTCTGAATACCTCTTGGGGGACAGCATGTACCTTCTGAGGCAGAGAACCGATGGGTCAAAGTATATGGTTTCCTCAACACTCAGCTCCTTCTTCCAATGAGGAGTCTGTGGTCATCCAATCTTAGCAGGGGCTCTGGGCTGCCCTGCCTCTGTCAGCTCCGTCTGAAGAGGCCGTCATAAGTATACCAGCACCCTTGGAGGATTTTAAGCTCAGTTGTATTACTTTTCATTTGAAGTGGAAACTTCTCGTTCTTTGGAAAGTTAATTATGTCAAATGATGTTTTGCTGGGGCACACAAGTGAAAGAATGTCTTGCTAAAGCAAACACATGAAAGATTGTTTTCCTGAAGCAGACACAGGTGAAAGGATGTTTAGATATAGCAAACACATGACAGGACGCTCGATGAAGGAGTATGACTATGACCCCACAGACAGTGGAAGACAAGCACTGAGCATTAGTTTGGTTTGCTCCGCCTCACTGTTCTTCACTAATGGTACACGTGTATTGGTTCACCTTACATAGAGTTGTTGAGCTCAACTTGTGATAACACCGCCATTGAGAGAAACTCACCCAAGAACTGCTCTTGAGGTTCCTGCAGCAGTTTGCCACTTCAGTGGCCTTGCCTCAGCTTAGTTGGCGAGCCTGGCAGTTTCTCCAGGATTAAACTGCTTGCTGAAAAGACTGAACTGTAGCTGCTGGTTCATTCCTGGGTTGTGCCTGTCTAGAGGACTGGTCTGCAGTTGCTAAGTTGTATTTGATGGTTGCTACATGACTGAACTGCTGCCCGAGAAGATCAAGCTTGCCCCTAAAGAACTATTGCCGAGCAGGTCCTCTTCCCTTATATCCTAATAACTTTTCTCTTCTACTACCTTTGCTGGGCAGTGGGCTAGAGGAGAGGTTAAACCCTTATCAAAAGTAGATTGAAAAAATTATGCCTTCATCTCAGTCCAGGAGTGTCCCCCTTCACTAAAAGTGCATTGAAAGTTAGTTCATGGAAATATGGGAGCTGCCTCTACTGATCTCTCTGTAAAGTCACTCCTGTCCTCTACGGACCACTCTTTTTTATCAACTTCTTTGGTATTCAGTTTGCTTCTTACCAGTGAGTATTTCTATGTACACCACCCTAACCTGTCGTGGGCTCTTCTCTGATGTGTTCTTCTGGCAAGCCCCCAGCAGCGAGGCTCCCTTTGAAGTACGCAGCAGTTTTCACTGTGTGCTTGTTGGGAAATGAATGCAATCTGAGCCTTGTCCTAAAATGTCTCATCCACTACACAAGACTACAAAGTTATCGCCAATAGAGGGAGAGCAATGATTCCAGTTACACATGGAGTCAGAAATGCTTCCAACTTTAGATCTCTTGTGAGTTTCGAACAGTTGCACTTAGGATAATATATCTAAGGGATGGGATCCTGATGGTTCAAATGAGAATGACCACCATTGGTTTGTGTATTTGAATGCTTGGTCCCCAGTTGGCAAGACTTCTCGGGAAGGATTAGGAGGTGTGGCTTTGTTGGAAGAGGTGTGTCACTGGGGGAGGGATTTCAAAAGCCCATGCCATTTCCTGTTAGCATTCTCTGCCTCATGCTTCTGGATCAAACTGTAAGTTCAGCTACTGCTCCAGTGTCATGCCTGCTTGTCTGCTGCCATGCCCTCTTCCATGACGGTCATGGAGGCCCACCCTCTGCAACTGAAAGTAAACAAGAAACTCTTCTATAAGTTGCCTTGTTCATGGTATCTTATAACAGCAATAGAAAAGTGACTAAGACAGATCCTAATTTAAACATGAAATTCACGTTTCTTTATTTTCCTCTTTTTTCTTTCTTTCCTCCTTCCTATCTTTTTTCCCCACACTACCTAATATTTCTAATGTACTTATATTTCAATGGTAGTCTATCATATGAGGTCAGGTATGGAGTTTTCTGCCTGTGGAGTCATGTTAACATGAAAAACATTTCCAATGCAGGTATATCACGATTTGAGACTTTTAGATTAAATGCCTAACTTGTAACTGTAACCAAGCCCGCGAGAACTGTGGACAAGATCCAACAATGACACCAAAGTGGGAATTGATTAATACTGGTCCAGGATTATTGTGCATCTAAGAGGTAGAGAATTTTGCCATTATGTGTATGGCCCTATATTCCAAAACCAGTACCAAGAGATAGATAATAGATGGATAGATGAATGATAAACAGACATATGTTAGATGGATAGATGATATATAAGCAGATAGATGATAAATAGATATGGATGGTAGTTGATAGAGATGATAGATTATAGATAAATATAGGCAGATGATAGATATATGATAGATAGATAGATAGATAGATAGATAGATAGATAGATAGATAGGATGGATACCTTCCATAAAATTCAATTGCTTGACAAATATACAGAAAATATCTTATTTTCCTCTGTTTTTGATCTATTCCACTCAAACACCAAGTCCACTTTCATCCCATACAATACAGACCTTCATTTTAAGCTATGATGAGAAAACATTGTTATGAATGTCATGGCATTGGCATTGGTGAAGCATCCTGTACACAACACACTTGTGCAGGCCAGGGATGGACTACATGGGATGTTTGCACAGCACACCACATCTTTGTACCAAAAATAACAAAGCTTCCTGGTCCCTTTCCTGAGTCCCTTTCCTGAGTCCCTTTCCTGAGTCCCCTCAGGGAAGTCCACACAGAACTGGAACCAAAACCCAAGGCGACTCCTTTTCTCTCAGGCTGAGTCCACCCTGCCCAGCTCTCCTACATCAGCATCTCCGGAGCTGCAGTGACGTCTTTTAGAGCTCCCTTCAAGTGATCTACTTATGGGGCAGCATTTTTGCCTTTGAGAATTTAGTCAGAAAAGTGTTGTGGCAAGGCACAGGCACCTACTTCCAAGGAATAGCAAACCACGCTGGCTTGCCAACCAGTACCCTAGCATTCTTTGGGCCACTAGTCCATCACTGTGACCCCTGTCTCCCTGCCAAGGTTCTTGCAGGCACAGCCCACTCTTCTCCGATTGGATTTTATGATGCATATGGTGACAGCAAGCTACAGAGAAAGATGTCTCCTCTATTAAAGAGTTTTGGGAGGATCTCCTCTTTTAGTACATTGATTTTAACAGAGAGGCCAACTTTTAGATTATTTCTATAAAAGTGAAGGGGGCACAAAATACACATACACACATGCATACAAACACCTGAATTGCAGTGATGGCCAGTTTCTGAAGTGTGACTATTCCACTAGTGGGCAATTTTAAGCTACTAACATAATGTCCCCGATTGATGTGTACAATTGCCACCACTCTTAATGAGATTTTACAGTGAGCTAGAGACCTTGTACAGACTCACTGAATCCTCACACACGGCTGTGATAAAAATGGGGATAATATAAACAGTTGACTCACCGTGTCTGTGGGACTTGACTGACATAAAACACATGGTCCACAGCAGTGTCTGCCACTCAATAAACACAGCCATAATTCTCATTGGCTCTTGCCTGTGAATCAGATCTCCACTTCACAGGTGACAGGAGCCCTGCCCTGGTGGGCATGTGTAGATGGAGCCAAGATCCCTGAGCCTCCAGCTGCTCCACCAAAGAAGGCAATGCTACCCTTCATCTTTTTCACCTGAGCAACTGATGTCCAAGACTCCCCTGAGATTGATGCAGTGAATTCTGGGAAGAGAGATGTGTTCCTAAAGTGGGAGGACTTTTTGCAGTGGAAAGAGCATTGAGCTACAAAGAAAAATCCAGAGTAAGTGAGCACAGGGCACCTCCGACTACCAGCACTCCAGCCCTGGGTCACATCTGCAGCACCAACACCCCTGAAGACATTCCAAAGGCCAGGAGGCTATCCCCTGGTGCAGGCCCTGCAGACACTTGGGAGCTGTGATTGACACTTGAACTCCCAGGAAGGATGCTGAGGCGGCGCTGGGCTGAAGACAGGTAACTTTCTTCTCCCCTGAGCAGGGCTCACAGCTCATTCACCCAAATGGAAGCTCTCCCAGCCTCATAGCCACCCTTCCTTTCATGTCAGTGTGGCCTCTGAAAATAGGAAGCAAGGATCCAGGATCTGTGCATTGCCACTGGTTGTGTGAAGCTGACTGGGCACATCCTGGACAAGAAACAAAGTTTAAGCACCTGTAGTGCCTGTGGTATCAGAATTAAACACACAGATGTTTAGAGGAAGGGAACAGGCATCCAACATGTGACCCAAATGGTTCCCAGGTAAGGGTCCCCGTGAGTCAGGTTATCATGTAGCTGCTTCTCCAAGGAGCCAGGTTTTACTTCCTGGACCTCTCAAAGAAGTTCAGAAGGCCCTGGTCAGAGGCACACAATGAGAGCCTGTTTCCATGGATACTTCAAGATTCTATAAGAAAGAAGCAGAAAAGGAAAAATGTGTAAAGATCTGCTTTTGTTCCCTACACTCACCCACTCCAAACATTAACCTCATACCAACCTCCCACTGCACACAAGGGCCACAGGAAGCCTAGACAACACAGAAGAGCTAAAGGAAGTGATAGGCTCCAGCTTGGGCCACAGGGTGGCCCCATAGCCTATCCAGTGTATCCTGAGCAGCCAATCACCAAGAAAACAAAGGTGAGAGTTCTTTCTTCTGATTTGCATTTTCTTTCTTCCTTTCTTCTTCCTTCATATTTTAAAAATAATATTTTGAGGCTATTACCTAAGTTGGATATCTCAAATTCTGGCCCTTCCTATCATATCTACCAGAGGCAACCACTTCACTTCAACAGTTCAGCACAATCGGGGCTGTGGCCTGGGAGAACTGAGGGCAGGCAAGAAGATTGTTACTTTCTGTGTGTCTTTTCTCCTCAGTGTGACAAATTGCCTAACAGAAGCAATCAGGGAGGAAAGCTTTATTCAGGCGAACAGTTCCAGAAGGTATGGTCCATGATGACGAGGAAAGCCTAGTGGCTAGCGTGACTTTGGCCACTGTGGTGGGGCCTTGCAGCCATGACTTGTTCTTGACAGATCAGGAGTCAGAACCAGAAGTAGATATCACATACAAGCCAAGGCCCAAAGGACAATTATGTTAATGAGCAAAACAATAAGGGGGTATAAAAATGAAAAACAAAAGGGCCTGGCAAAGCTTTTGCTTAGTATGCGCAGGGTCCTTCTGCTGCACAGGAGGAAAGGAAGAGGCCAGGCAGGCTCTAGTGTACTCTACAGCGCTGTTCATGAAGGCTGGGGAGGTGAAATCCAAATACCATCAAGAGGACTAACAGTTAAACACTCACAGCTTTATACCCTTAATAGACATTTGGAAGAATAAGATGACTTTCTGTGCTCAACAAGCAACAAGTTCTGGGATTTCAGAGAGTCTGGAAAAGCAAGAGCAGGACACTGTATTATAGAATGTGTTAGTATGTAGACAATACAGTGAGGGTTGTGTGTGCGTTCGTGGGTCTATGCTTTACTAAGCAACCACTGTGTGTCAGGCACTGTTCTACGCCCTATGGACACAGCAGTGAAGAAAACAGACAAATCCTTTGCTCTGGTAAAGCTTCATGAAGGAGAACAACAGTAAACAGTAGATGGAATCTATGCTGTGCCTTACGGTGCAGAGGTGTGTGGGGGTTGGGGTCAGAAGGAGGGCAGGTAGGGAGGACTGGGGAGGGAGCTTGTTGGTGTGGGTGAGGCTCAGCAAGGTCACAGAGGGGCTCGGGCAGAGCAACTGAAAGGGAGCTAAGAGAGGTACCAGAGAGGTGGAGAGGTCGGGCAGGTTGTTTGTTGGACTTTCACCTCAAAGGACAACGTGTGATGTGATCTTAGTTAAAGTTCTGGAAATAGACTAAGAACACATCCCAAAATATGTATACCAACCTATTAATGATGGTTGCCTTTAGGAAGCAGAATATGGCTCAGGGGAGGCAGGTAGGGAATTCTGTGTTCTATTTACTGGGCTTGTGGTGTGTGTGTGTCCGTGTGTGTATGTGTGTGTGTGTTCATATGGGTACACGTGCACACATGTCAGTGTCTGTAGAGGCCAGAGGTAGTCATATCTCAGTCATCCTCCACCTTATCATCCAATAATATTTTTACTTATTCTTTGATTTTTTTGTACGTTTGTATTTTGATCATGTCCGTCTAACATTATCTCGCTCTTCAATGCCCACTAGTATCCCCGACCCCATCAACCTCCCAACTACATGCCTTGGCTTTTGTTATTAATAATCTGAGTGCTGCCCACATACACCACGATGGGGAGCCATCCAATGGGAAGGGGCTATCTAAAACTCTACTTTGGTTTCTGAAACATCTCTCATTGGACCCGGAGCCCATCTCTAGGTTAGGCTGGCTAGCCAATGAGCTCCAAGGGTCCACCTGTCCTCATATTCACACCCTAATGAGACCGAGGTTTCAGACGCATGTCCCTGGACCGCCATCCTTGCATCCCAGACATTTTGCTGACTGAGCCATCGCCAGCCTGTTTCTTTGTTTTACCAAGCATTTTCACTTGTAGCTCAAGTCTGTGCCTGAAATGAGCTGACCTTACCTCCTATCTGATTCTCCCTCCACTGGGGCAGAACAAGTTACTGAAGCTGAGCTACTTGAAACAGTTCCTTTTCCTTCTTTATTTTGTGTTGGTTTGTTTTGTTTTTCAAGACAGGGTTTCTCTGTGTAGTCCTGGCAGTCCTGGAACTCACACTGTAGACCAGGCTGGGTTTGAACTCAGAGATTTGCCTGCCTCTGCCTCCCAAGTGCTGTGATTATAGGTATGTACCACCACAGATCAGCTAAACACCGTTTCCGATTCACTGAGTGGTTCTGTAATGGATTGAAGCTGGAATGTGCCCAAAGACTCTCATGTTGAAGGCTTTGTTCCCCTGTCCCAAGTCCTGCAGAGATCATGAGGGCACTCGTCTCATCAACGGGTGAAGCTATTGATGAGTTCATAGTTGACTGGCCTGGTTGAAAGAAATAGTAGGTCATTGGTCTGTGCCTGTGAAGAATGTCCCTCTCTCCTCTTCCCTTCCCTCTTTCTGACTCTTGGCCACCATGAACTAACTAGTGAGCTTCCTCAGACTCATAGAAGCAAGGAAACCAGCCCATCGTGTACTGAGACCTCTGAAACCATGGGTGGAAATAAACCCTATCTCCTCTAAGCTTGTAAAGCTGTTTCGTCATAGCTACAGAATGGTGGCTAACACACTGAGCTGAGAAAACCTCATAGTTGCAGAGTTGTTACCCAAAGTTGCTATTGTAAGACACTGTGTGGCTGCTGGAAATCTAACCTGCATTCTCAAAGAACATTCTCAAAGAGCAGTTATTAGCTGCTGAGCCATCTCTGCAGCCTCACTTCTAAGTGTAATGTCTCGATTGTGCACACACACCAGACAGAATCTTACTTACCCTTCCACACCAAGGGAAAGTGTCTCCTTTCAGAGGTCCCACATAGCTGCAGATGTAGTCATTATTACAATTCTAGAGGCCATCACCTACTTCAGGTCACTGTAAAAGTGTATGTTTATTGAAACAATTTTCAGCCTATGACCAAAAGGCTTTAATTAAGTACGGTCCAATTCAGAACTCTAATGTACAATGGTGATGTGTGAAATAGGTACATCTCAACTAGATCCCTGCCTCAGGAGCCCCTGATTCACCTTACACAACCCACTTGTCAGTCCTAAGCCTCAAACAGGGAGACTCCCACACCCACACCACACCCACAAGGGCCTGCAGCCCAAATCTTCGGGTTCACTATGCTTCAAGTTGCATGGAGCTTCCCAGAAGCTGCCAACACTGATATATGCGAGTTCTGCTTCTAATCAGGTCAGAATTCCATGGCTGCTTGCTGGGCACGTGTCCTGGGTGGTGGCTGCACCATGCCCTCTTCAGAGGGGTTGTGATCTGCCAACTTGAGGAAGATCCAGAGTGAGGATTTGGGAGCTGGGAGGATCATGGCACCAATGTGGTGAGACCATGTGTCTAACTGAAAAAGGCTGACGTTCAAGAGGATGGTGTCTTTTCTTTACTTGGAGTTGTAGTGTGTTTATGTAGCTCTCAGAATCTACAGAACAGGTTTCCCTCAGTAGCTGTCCTTCAGTACTGGCATCAAGTAAGAAAGTGAAACACATTGTTACATATGACAATACACACATATAATCAGAGTCCTCCATACCCACAGGTACCCTGTCCAGAGCCAACAAACTTGATAGGCAAAATTTTTAAAGGGTGTTCTAAAAAGTATTGAACACACAGAGCTTTTAATTGTCATTATTCATCAACCACACAGAAGAGTAACATTTACATAATCTTCACATCGTCATATTTATAATCTAGAGGTGACACAAAGTAGATAGAGGACCAGGTCCTTTACTCTGCTAAGCTGTTATGAAGCCTCGGCTGTTCTGTTATGCTAGATGGGGCAAGGCAGACAATAGGAAGTACCCTGCTGAATGTTGCCATTGTCTTCTCCAGGCCACAGAACTAGACACAACTTAGGAATAAAGCATCAGTGTTGTCAGTGTCATTGTGTCTGTGATGGAGAAAATAAGGAAGCCATTGGTAAGAGGAAGTGAGGTGCAGGAGGCTACAACATCTCCAAGATTAACAGAGGTATTGCAGGGTTTAGAATTTTCATGGACGTACTGAGATCCATGTTCAGGGTGGAGCTGGTCTTCAGCACAGAACAGAAATCAAGTTTAGGTTGTGGCCCCCTAAAAGCAACCCTGCCTAGCAGCAACTGGCATTCTGCTGCCCTTCTCCCCAGGCCTACAAGGTTTGGCCTTTATGCCCTATACATTATGCTTTGGCAATCTGCAAGAGCCCCAATGGCTATGTCGAAGTAAAGGAAGATAATTCTTTTTCTGGCATAATACTGGTGGGCCAGGGTGACAAGTGGCCATTGAGACAATTTTGTGGAATATGCAAGCATCCCCCAGAGCTTCACAAGAAGTTCTTGGGAACTTCCCGTTGTCCTCAGGATAAAGGCTCCTACTCCTGATAAACTGTATATGAAAAGAACATGTCCTCCTAAAGTTTGCAGCAGTCAGAATCCTCTTTCACAGACTGTAAGAAAAGCAGCTCCTTACAGCAGCATCATTTTATTTTGCAATCACACACACACACACACACACACACACACACACACACACACACTGATGGAGATCAGAAGGTAATGAAGGAAGAGAAAGGAGGGAAGGAAGTAGACAGAGAGGGAAGGGGAAGCAGGAAGTAGATACAGAGGAAGGGAAAGAAAGGAGAAAGGGACGAAGGAAAAGGAAAGAACCATAGCAATAAAGAGTGATGTCAAGATTAAATTGCACCCCATGCCCTAACTACAGAGATCTGAAAAAGCAAGCGGGCTGCAGAGAGATGACGTGGAGACCAGAACTGGCACTTCTGCATGCAAGAACTAGGGAAATGAAGGTTGGACTCTGAAGGCTGCTTGAGGCTAGGGTCTGGCACCTGCCCAGGTCTGGGGTGAACACTTAAGAGCCCTCAAGGTCTCCTTTGTCAATGCCCAGCCCAGTCATCCAGGACAGAACACCAGGCTGAAAGTAAACCTGGGGACAAACTGCAAATGCTTGGCACTTCCTCTCTACTGTCACTAGGACCAGAAAGGGAGATGCTCTCACCGAAAGCCAGCCTGAACTAGGAATCAGCTCCATGGTGCTACAGAAACAAACATGGAAACTGGGGCTGAATATAAACTGAAGACAGCTCTGCAAAGTTTTAAAAACTCACCCAGCCACGAAAATTCAATTTGGCTGCAGCTTCGACATGACCTCACTCTCTTTTATGAGCAGCTGTCCTGACACTAATCCTGCCTCCTCCCATAATCTCCTCTGCCTGAGGAAGGGAGGTCATGAGCCCTCAGCAAATACATTCTTACAGTGCCCCCTGCTTCTGCAAAGCACTCCTTACGCTCCCCAGACGGTGTGCTTGTCCAATGTCCCTGTCACAAAAATAGAATCCTGGGTCTGCCATGTCCACCCGAGGCCCTGGCACATTGCCTGGCACAAGCAAGCACTTGGTGTGCATTTGCAGGATGCCTGTCAGCATGTTGCATTAGGGCTGTGAAATTATGTCTCTTCTGATAAAGGCTAGAGAAAAAAAGCAAACTTGGAATTTCATCACACAGACTTGAAAGGCTTTTTAAAGGCACAGACTAACCATGTTTTATGACTTTGTGTCTCATGTTCCTTCTGTTTTTCCAGTATCCTAAAAGAAAAAGTACATAAAAGGTGTCCCTTATTATTATTTAAATAATAATGTCTATGACCAAACCACCCTGAACATGCCCAATCTCATCTGACCTCAGAAGCTAAGCAGGGTCAGCCCGGTTAGTACTTGGATGGGAGACCGCCTTGGAATAGTGGATGCTGTAGGCTTAAAAATATATATTTATTAATAATAATAGTATTAAGACTAGGAGTAGAGTTCATGGCAAGGCAGCCTATTCCCGCCTAGGGAAAAAAAAGTGTTTACCAACCTCTTGTCACTGAAGAAGTCTCTTCTCCGTTCCTTTTGTTTTGAGTCTTAGAGGTTGCTCTTAAAAACTCCTTACTCAATCTTTGAGCATCAATTCTGGCCCAGAACACACTTCAGGGGATACAGGAG